TACACAGACACAAACACACGACACAGCCGACGACTGCGACACGAAGCTTTTATGGTGCCCCCTCTCGACTGCTGCTCCTTCTCTCGCCACCCACTCTTGTACGCTAAATAATGACTGACAGTATGTTGGTGCTTCGCCATGCCTCTCTGTAGGTATATACATATGTGTTTGTATGTGTGTGTGTGACCCCCAATTGCTCGCTCCCTCAAACAAACAAACAAACAAACAACTAGAAATTATGAAGCAACACGCGACCAGCGAACCGAGCGCACCACGAGTAACGAGAGCGCAACAAATTGAGACAGGCTGAGAGAGGGAGAGAGAGAAAAAGAGAGAGAGAGAGAGGGAGAGACAAAAATACAGCGATAGAGCGAGAGCTTCACGTCGCAGCAGGTTGCATCGAACTTGTTGCGTATCGAACGCTGCTGCCACCTTGCGCGTCGCTGCTGCTGCCGCCGCCTTTGCTGCTGCTGCTGATGTTGTTGTTGCTCTTTCTGCTCCCAATTACTTTTTGCATGCTACCTTGCGCCCCCACTTCACCTCAAACAGTCGCCTGGTCATTCGGCAGCGGCAACGCAATCGTCATCGTTGTGTTGACGTTGTTCTTGTTGCTGTTGTTGCTGTTGTCGTTGTCATGCTTAATCCCTGTAGCGACAGCGGCGCCGTCGACGACGACGACGACGTCGACCCACAACGAGAGAGTGGGAATTGATGTGTTTGTGTTCATGCCTGATATGCTCCACGTTGACGCCGACCGCCCCCACCGCCCAACAACACCGTTCGACCGCAAAGCGCTGGATTCATGTTTTTCACACAGAGCTTACAATGCGCGCAAGTACGCGTATGTGTGCGCATGTTTGTGTGTGCTTGGGTATGCTTGTGTGTGTGTGTGCATGCACATTTGTACACATTAACATATCAAACCGAACACGAGCGAAACGTTCTCATTTTGCAAATTGACTTTAATATTTTTTGCTGTTTTCTTTGATTCCATTCGGCTCTTTTGACTTTGGCGTCGGTTTTGCGTTTTACGTTTATTAATAATTGTGGGTAAATAAATTAATTAAATTAATTGTAATGTGTGATTTAGTGGAATTTAAACAATTTTTAATTATAAACAAGTAAATGATTTCATTCTTGTTAATAAAAAATGTTATCCCCATTACGCATTGATTAAATATATAAATATTTTAATTGCCTAATTAAATGTGAAATATTCAAAATACTCTAGAATTAAAAACTTTTAAAATATTGAAATAATATCTTAATTTAGATCTCGCTAATTAGCGAAAAATCGCGTCAAAAGCTCTCACATAGTACGTAGATTAACAATTTGGAAGCTGTCAAAACTATTTAATCTAAATACAAAACCGCAGTCGAACCGCTGCCGTCGCTGCAGCAACAACAACATCAATCAAGAGCGTTGGGAGGAGAGCAACACAAAAGCGCACACACAACAGCAAAACAGCAACAGAAACAGCAACAACAACAACAACAGCGACAACGACAACGGCAGCAACAAGAGCGCAAACACCGCAAAATAATAAACCAGCTCGACAAGTCTAAATCACACTCATTAGCAAAAGCCCCCCAAAAACAACGCACAGCAACAGCGCGCGTCGCCGCCGCTGCCTCTGTCGCTGCCATGGCCCGCAACAGCAGCAGAACAAAAATCAAAATCAAAACCACAGGCAAACGCACACATACAAACGCAATCAAAAGCAGCGACGTCGCTGCCGGCGCAGCTCCCATCATATCTCAAATTGTTAAACGATGAGAACGAGATGAGAACCTAATAAGAAACCGAATACAAAAGATAAACACAAGCGTAAACATTTAAGTAACAAAATTGGCTTTTTGTTATGCGTTGAGTTTATTGCGGGGATGCCGGGCGACGCGAATGAGTGAGAGCGCAGCAGAGAATGGGAGAGAGAGCCAGCTAGAGAGCGGTTTTGCGTGTGTGTTTGTGAGAGAGATAGAGAGAGTGAGCAAGCAAGCTGCAGCACGGCAACATTGCTGTTCGCAGCACTGCAACACTGAATTAGAGCGGCACTCTCGTACGCTCACCAGTAACGGCGCACGTGAGTGTGTTTGTGAGTGTGTCTGTGCAATTGTTTTTTCAGTGGGACAGATTGCCAATTGATTGTTGTTGCTGCTGTCGTGTTGTTGTTGTTATTGTTGTTACTGCTGCTGCTAGCGTCGCTGTCGTCGCGTTACGCTTTTTGTGCTTTTCATTTTGTGTTTTTATTTTGTTGTTGTATTTTCTGCCTTGCTCTGCCGGTAGCGCTGCCGCTGGCATAAATGCTCTGCCGCTGCCTGCCCTACAAGTGCGATGGGGCGACGACGCTTATGCATACATACATACATACATACATACATATGTACTTGTGCATAGGTGTGTGCGTATTTACATATGAACAGTGTGAGGCTGCAGTGACGCGACGTCGTATTTCCATTTCCATATGTTGGCTGTGCTTTTTTGCCTGCGGTTGTTGTTATTGTAGTTGTTGTAGCTGTTAATATATTTGTTAAATAAAATTCATTTCGGAATTACTGTTTGTTGTGCTGCTTCTTCTTCGTCTTCCACTTCGCCCGTTGTTCCCTTTGCGGATTGGGTGGCAACTTTGATGGTTTTTCTAACTGAGCTGCAGTTGCAACTGTTACTCTTTTTGTATCTGGATTTGTATATGTAATTGCATCTGTAGCTGTATCTGTATCTGTATCTGTATCTGTATCTGTATCTGTATCTGTATCTGTATCTGTATCTGTATCTGTATATGTATATGTATCTGTATCTGTATCTGTATCTGTATCTGTATCTGTATCTGTATCTGTATCTGTATCTGTATCTGTATCTGTATCTGTATCTGTATCTGTATCTGTATCTGTATCTGTATCTGTATCTGTATCTGTATCTGTATCTGTATCTGTATCTGTATCTGTATCTGTATCTGTATCTGTATCTGTATCTGTATCTGTATCTGTATCTGTATCTGTATCTGTATCTGTATCTGTATCTGTATCTGTATCTGTATCTGTATCTGTATCTGTATCTGTATCTGTATCTGTATCTGTATCTGTATCTGTATCTGTATCTGTATCTGTATCTGTATCTGTATCTGTATCTGTATCTGTATCTGTATCTGTATCTGTATCTGTATCTGTATCTGTATCTGTATCTGTATCTGTATCTGTATCTGTATCTGTATCTGTATCTGTATCTGTATCTGTATCTGTATCTGTATCTGTATCTGTATCTGTATCTGTATCTGTATCTGTATCTGTATCTGTATCTGTATCTGTATCTGTATCTGTATCTGTATCTGTATCTGTATCTGTATCTGTATCTGTATCTGTATCTGTATCTGTATCTGTATCTGTATCTGTATCTGTATCTGTATCTGTATCTGTATCTGTATCTGTATCTGTATCTGTATCTGTATCTGTATCTGTATCTGTATCTGTATCTGTATCTGTATCTGTATCTGCACCTGTATCTGCACCTGTATCTGTCTCTGCACCTGTATCTGTCTCTGTATACGTATTTGTATTTGTATTTGTATCTGTATGCGGATTTGTATTGGTATTTATATCTGTATCTGAATGTCAGCTTATTATATTGTAACTGTTATGTCATTTCGCTTGCATAAATTATGATGTTCTGTGGCAAAGGTAACGGATGTGTGTGTGTGTGTGTGTGTGTGTAAACGTGTTGGCATACAGAGGCAACAGCAGTACAACAACAACAACAACACCAAAACATAATCGATACAGTGACTGCCCGATGGGGCGCATAACGCTGCGCACACACACACATACACACTCATAAATTGATATGCGTGTGTATGTGTGTGGCACGTAAACGGAAACCGAACGACAATCGCACATTTCCCAATAATTATATTTCAATGCATCAGAATTTCAGCATGACAGTTGTCTGGTTTCCGTCCACGCATGCAGCAACAGCAACAGCAGCAGTCATCCCAACATCATTATCATCATCCACATTATTCACATCGTCATCATCCTTATCATCCTACAGCTTTGGCCAATACAGACCATGGTCATGTCCATGTGCCATGCCCCACGCCCGGTCATTATCTGTTTAACAGTTCCACATTAACGATGTTGCCTGGTCATGGATATGGCAACCCCCCGACTGACTGACTGACTGACTGACTGACTGAATGCCTGACAGATTGACTGACTGACTGACGCCATATTGTGCCATACATACGCACAATCAACGGAAAGCCGTTGGGCCAATAAGTTTATTACTTGCCTCAATGCATTGACCATCAATTCATGATGTTTGTGTGCGTGTGTGTGTGTGTGTGTGTGCCTCGAGTGTGTTTGTGCTGGTTGTATTTTGTTTCCTGCTCAAGGACTTCCACACATATTCATATTGAATACGAGTTTATCGTCCTGACAGCCACACACCCACACACTCGCACACCCGCACACACATGCCGCAGCACTTTCCTGTATAATTTATGAAATGCACATCATTCCCACAACCTCAATTATGTCTGCCATTCAGCAATGTGTCCGTTGGCACACCAAAGGTTGAAGGCGATAATAATACGTATACGTACGTATATACAAATAAATAGATACTGTCTTTTTATGTGTAAAGACCATAATTGGTAATAAGAGCGTATGCAAAGAGTTTACTTTATTTTTCAAATATTTTAAATGGATCACGGTTGACAGAACTTGATTCAATTTAAATGTTTTTCACTTGAGCTTGTCCAATCGATAAACTGCTTGTCAAGCTAACTGGCAGTCAGATTGAACTTGAATGTTGAGTGGAATATTGTGAGTCAAGAAATAGTAATTCAATCAAATTGATAATATAACACGTTTCTAATCACAGATTAAACTAAATAAACATTCCCAGAAAGTTTGACATTATTTTATTCTTTTAATTTTATTGGTATTAAATGAATAACTTAAATTAAACTTACATTAAATTAATACTAGTATAACTTATTTTACAGACAAGTCGAACAGACGAGGATAAACAAAATTAGATTGGCTATATAAGCCGATCCGAGAGATCGATTGGATGAAACCTCCGCAATCTCCTCCGCACTCGGACTTCTCCAGTCCCACGTCTATTTTGATGCAGCCTGGTGAGTTGATAGGGATTATTTTCAAGCCGAGTGATAAAATTCGCAGCCTGTATAATTTTTAGGTCCCCGACTTTGGGCATGCATGTAGCAGGAAGCAGCAGACAGCTTGCGAGGCGTTTTCGCTTCCAGGACCCTGATCTTCACAGCCTTCCCTTACACTTGGATTCCATCACGCCACGCAGGAGCTATGTAGGTGATTATGATCATTTTCATTTCATTCTGTTTCCCCCCGGCCCTAGAACCTCAATACCTCAATACCTCGATATGGGTCAAAATTTAGATTTTCATTTTTTGATGCCAATCGATAGTACTGATCCTTACGAGTCCAAAATGGTATAAAATTCCCAAATCGGACATTATTTGGCCGAGATATTCCAAAAAATCATCAAAAAAGGTTGACTTTACAAACGAATCGGTTTTTGGTCAACCACTTTTTTTAACCCATCGATTTTTTAAATGTTTGAATGCAGATTCATAGTAGGGATCCCTAAGAATTCAAAAAGGGATAAAGTTTCAAAATCTGACAGTATTTATCCGAGATATTCAATAAAAATCTTCAAAAAAGTTTTGATTTTCGAACCGACCCCGAATTTGAGTAAAAACGTGATGTAACCCCTTGCCATTTTGTTGATTTGGGTAAAAATTTAGATTTTTATTTTTTTGATGCCAATCGATAGTACTGATCCTTACGAGTCCAAAATGGTATAAAATTCCCAAATCGGACATTATTTGGCCGAGATATTCCAAAAAATCATCAAAAAAGGTTGACTTTACAAACGAATCGGTTTTTGGTCAACCACTTTTTTTAACCCATCGATTTTTTAAATGTTTGAATGCAGATTCATAGTAGGGATCCCTAAGAATTCAAAAAGGGATAAAGTTTCAAAATCTGACAGTATTTATCCGAGATATTCAATAAAAATCATCAAAAAAGTTTTGATTTTCGAACCGACCCCGAATTTGAGTAAAAACGTGATGTAACCCCTTGCCATTTTGTTGATTTGGGCAAGAAGTCTGACAGTCTGTTTGGTCGAGATATTCCAAAAAATCTTCGAAAAAGGTTGACCTTACAAACGAATCGGTTTTTGGTCAACAACTTTTTTTAGCACTTCGATTTTTAATTTGTGCGTTGAAGTGGGCCTTAGGAATTCAAAAAGGTATAACATTTCAAAATCCGACAATATTTAACCGAGATATTCAAAAAAATCATCAAAAAAGTTATGATTTTCGAAACGACCCCGATTCAAAAAAAATGTCATATAACCCCTTGCTTTTTGGTCGATTTGGGTCAAAATTTAAATTTTCTTAATGCCAATCGTCCTTATGGTTTACGAGATATGGGTATTGTCTTCTTAAAGGATATTAAATTGTCCACCTTAAGGACTGTTCTGATGTCCTTTGGACAACATATAGTCCTTGTCCTGCTTACTTAGAATATGTAATAAAATGGATGAAAATCCTTCAAGGAGCTGAGGAAAAGAGATGTTTGTCTGTAGAGATAAATGGCTGTAGATCGGCCGTATCCTTGCCGATCATGATGTCCATTTGCCAACCGTTAGTCCTTATCCTCCCAATTCAGCATATAAAATGAAAAGGAAAAAATTCTTTTAGACAGCATAGATATGAGTACAATTCTTTCGTAATTTGAAAAGGCCATAATTCGGCCGTATCCTTGCGGATCCTGGAAGGCCTGTTTCAAACAAATCGAATGAACAAGGACCATAAACGGTCTAAAGGACAACAATATCGTCCTTGCCGTTTCAGCGATTTGGCCTATTTTCGAAAAACGACATTTTTTAATAAGCCATAACTCGCCCAAATCCTTAAGGATTTCGAAAGGATATATCGTTTTAAACTCGTGGGGAGCAAGACCATCGAATGGCATTCAAGGATTTCCAGAATTCGATAAATAAATTTCGGCGATATTTTTCCTAGGGGGTTAGTCGCAAAATTGGCAAAAATCGAAAAATTCGGGGCTAACTTTGCCATTTGAAGGACTATCGGGATGTCCTTTGGACAGCAAATAGTCCTCACCCTCCGATTGAATAATATACAACCCAAAGGACGAAAGTCCTTCAGACAGCGAAGTCTTAAGGACAATTTCGTGCAAAGAATATAGGCTATAACTCGGTTATATCCTTGCGTATCCTGACGAGTCCTGTGTCAAAAAAATTGTGTTGTTCAGGACTACCAACTGGCCAAATTTTATTAGGATCGTCCTTGTAGTTTTGGAGATATTTAAGGATTTGTGTTTTCGGGCTATTTCCGTGCGCTCCGGGACAGAAATTTTACAAGTCCAATTTCGAGTCACATGATTCTTAGATGACCCCATATTTTTATGATGCAGATCGATGCAGGGGGTCTATACAATCCTAACGCTCCATGTCCTTTGAAAATCTGCAAGGACATGCCCGAGTTATGGCCTATTTTCCGATTTCTTATAACTTTTTATATACTTATATTAAATGTGCTTTTATCTTTTCAGACTAAAAAATTAAGGACTAAGGACCTTTACGAGTGACAAAGCAGATTTTTCCAGGATCGGACTTTAATTAAGCCAGATATAATTATTTTAAGTTTCAATACGCTTAATTTATAATTTATGCTCGATTTGTATAATTTTAAGAGAAATAATTAAGAAAACTAGCATAAAAAACAACAATTTTATAAATTGAAACATAAATAAATCAATTATTTAAAATAAAAGAGAAATCTCTGTTATGTTTATTTTAAAATTCAAAAATCAACGGTCTTTAGAAATCTATTGCATACCCGCCAGGGGCGTCTGTTGGCAACCGCTGGCTGCCGAGATTTTTCTTAAAATCTGCCAAAATACCAGGCGAACAGAAATGCCCAGAAGGTCGACGAAAAATATTTTTAGTAGCCGAAAAAATTTCATTGCATACCCAAAAGGGGCGCCCTCGTCGCCGGCTGGGTCCCAAATTTTAACTTAAATTTCCCACAAATACCAGGCGAACAGAAATGCCCAGAAGGTCGACATACAATATTTTTGCGGCCGAAAAATTCCATTGCATACCCGCACGGGGCGCCCTGGTCGGCGGCTGGGCCCCAAATTTGCACAAAAATTCCACTACTTTTTTTTTTTTTTATTTATTTATAGCATTATTTTAATTTTCCTGTTCTTATGATAACAACATAAATTAAATTTATTTGAAAATTTACAATACATGTTTTGGACCATATCTGGCAAGAATTAGATCCTGTAGGTTCGCTAGGACTATATCCATGGTATGGCATAACCAAGGATATATGGATCAACTAGGAACCAACTGTTTTAATTGTTTTTATCCTTGGGCACGCCAGTAGGCGGTACGGCGGTAGTACCGGTCCTTACGAGTCCAAAATAGTATAATTGAACCCCTTGATTTTTAATTTAATTTAATGCCAATCCTTTATTTCATCGATCTGTGAAGAATAAAACACATTTTAATACAGGTCAAACAAAATGTATAAGGGTATTTTGAAAAAGTAAAATGGCCATAACTCGGCCATATCCTTGCAGAATTTCAAAGGATATGGTGCGTTAGGATCGTGGAGACCAACTGCAACGGTTTGCATAAAAAAATTGGGGGGTCATCTAAGAATCATGGACTTGGAAAATTTTCAGTCGCGGGGCCAACGAAAATTGGCTGAAATCACAAAAAATCAATAAAATTGCAATATCTCTGAAACTACAAGGACGATCTCGATGTCCTTTGGCCAGTTGGAAGTCCTTGTCAATATAATTTTTTTGAAACAGGACTCGTCAGGATACGCAAGGATATAACCGAGTTATAGCCTATTTTCTTTGCACGAAATTGTCCTTAAGACTTCGCTGTCTGAAGGACTTTCGTCCTTTGGCTTGTATATTATTCAATGGGAGGGTGAGGACTATTTGCTGTCCAAAGGACATCCCGATAGTCCTTCAAATGGCAAATTTAGCCCGGATTTGTTCGATTTTAGCAACTTTTGCGACCAAACCCCTAGGCCAAATTTCAGCAATATTTTTTGTCGAATCATGAAAATCCTTAAATGCCAGTCGATAGTCCTTCTTGCCACGAGTTCAAAAAGGTATATCCTTTTGATATCCTTCAGGATTTGAAAGAGTTATGACTATAAATATAATGTCCTTTTTACAAAAGTAGCCATATTTCGGCAAACACAAGGACGATTTGGATGTCCTTTAACCACTTTATGGTTCTTGTCCACAGGAATTGTGTGACACATGACTTGCCAGGATCTGCAAGGATACGGCTGAGTAATAGGCTTATAAACTTACGAAACAAATGTCTCTATATCTTTGCGGTTTAAAGGACTTTTAGCTTCTTTTTTTTGACATTCTCAATAAGGAGGATGCGGACAATCGGTCGGCCAAAGGACATTGGGATTGTCGTTGAAATAGTCGAGTTATGGACGATCTAGTGATAAATATCCTTGTCAGAAATATAGACATAGCTCTGTCATATCCTTATCCTCAGGGTCGACGGAAATGAAATGAAAACTTTGATTTAACCCCCCGATTTTTTAAGGAAATAACTGAACAAATTCAAAACGGTATAACATTTCATTATCAGACGTTATTTACCCGAGTTATTAAAAAAAAATTACCAATCGTTCGAATCGACCCGATTTTAATGCCAACCGGTAGAACTGATTCTTACGAGTCCAAAATAGTGTAGTATTCCAAAATCGGATATTATTTATATATTATATCTCACAAACTAAAAGAACAACGCAGAACTTCATTAGCGAGTTGAGAGCCCTGATTAAAATGAGTATTATGACAGAGAACTTTTCGGGATACCGTATACGAGTCTAAGACACTTTTCACTTACAAAAAGTCTAGTTTTCTATGTCCTTTTTGTTGGATATGCTGAATTTCCAAGCTGAGAACTCTTTGTTACTCAAAGGACATCAGAATGGCCTTTGTAATGGCAATGATTTAAAGATTTTGGTGTATATTTTAATTTCTCGATTAATCGGTAACTAAAAGGACAATTTTTATGGCCACGTTCAATCTGGATTAGAATTTCTCGGAGCCGTAAAAACGATCGAAACAAAATGTATTCATTTTAAAGGACGCTTAACAAGTTTTCTACGGCCGCAAACTGGATGAATGACTAAATAAGGCCGGAAAATAGCCGCTAGTATTTAAATAATTTAAAAAAAAAAGCATTTAAATAAAACAAAAGAGCTGATTCTTGCTGATTCGACTCAATCGAAACTGTGCAATCGGATAATTCGAATTGAAATAAATGTTCAATTAAATATGTTCAAGTTTCAGTTAGAATGCCAATCAAAATTGCGCATACGCCGGATGGGCCAATTTTATAAATTTCTTCTGGCATTTATTGTCGCAATTTATTGCAAGAGAATCAACAAATTGTTATTTGTTTAATGCCAAATGCATTTTAATTGAGTTATTGTTGAGTTAAATACGCCAACAATTAGAGAATGTGCCTGGACATGCCACAAGAGGCAAGCAAGCAGAGGCTGCAACAATGCCCAGCATGTTGCTGGCGACGAGTGTAAATGACGCACTGTGGCTTATCCTTGTTGTTGCTAGCACTCAAAACTCGCACTCGTATACACGTGCACACGCATACACGCACACAGGCACACTTAAAGCGTCATTATTAGCACAACACACACACACAGACACACACGCACACACACAGAGCTGCACAGGTCAACCATTATGACCACTTGCTGTGAGCTCATCGTTGGCCGGACGTCGTGTTGACATACTTCTGCCAACAGTTGATCTTGTGGCCAACCGCAGGCATGCGGATTTAATCCATAAAGGATACGCATACAGCACAAGCACACGCATTACAAATGCCCATGAGTGTGCGTGCGTGCGTGCGTGTGCGTGTGTGTCTGTGTGTGAGCTTGTGAAATTTTAAGCACGTCCGTTCGGGTCTAACGAGCCACGTTTCATACTCCGCATTCCCTTGTTCCTGTTGTCTCGACTCGCTTGAAAGTAGGAAAATCTGTTGAAAATTGTGTAGCCCACAAATAAAGACACACACACATACACACACACACACGCGCATACGCACACACACAGAGGCACAGCTGAGCCGTTATATTAGTTTACAAATCACACGTAATAACAATTGACACACAGACACGCCCAGCAGCCCACTTAGCCCCGCCCACATGCTGACACACGTTGTGCGACATTTGTTTGGCTTTTGGGTTAATTAAAATATACGCACACACACACACACACACACACACGCACGCCTGAAATGAATTCTGATGCAAACTCAACTTGCAATTAGATGAGGCATAAAATGTGGTCAGCTGTGCGTGTGTGTGTGTGCGTGTGTTAACTGTAAACATTGCAAATTCTCTTTTTGCATAAAATTCATTTTTAATTTCATTTTATTTTGCCAATGAAAATGATTAACGCTGACTGCACTCGTTTGCGTACGTGTCTGTGTGCCTGTATATGTATGTGTGTGCGTGTGTGTGTGTGTTTGTGTAAAAGTGTTGCATAAATAAATTAAAATCAATGAAAAAAATAAGAAATGACCACAAAAGCGCAGCTGTGTCTGTGTGTGTGTGTGTGTTTGTGTGTTTGTGAGTGTGATAAAAATTGGCCATTTTAACATGCGCATTATTACAATTAAAATTAATTTAATAATAAATTTCAAAATAATTACAAGTCACTCGCTTAAATAAACGTTTGCCCGATTTTAACGGTTGCGTGCTTTAGTCGGGAGTGCCCGACTAGGAGATACCCTACATTGCACATTAACTGCGTTGTTTAGCGTTCGATCTTTATGAAATTTGGAGTGCATATATATGGCATTCATATGTTCGTTTATACCAAAGCCAAAGCCTCAGCTATATAGCTAAAAATATGATTTTGTTACAGTTTTGTGTGGTTCGGGAAAGGTATTTAAAAAGCTAAACATTCTATATCTATATCTTTATGAAGTCTTCATCCTGCATACAACATATTGTGTCTCTTATAAGCTTCGAGCTATAGCTCAGAAAAGGCATAATGATATTGATTTTCCTAGAAATGGGACAAGCTATCTATTATTACAAGCCATCTTGATTAGGGCAGAGCCACGTTGGAAATTTAAAGTCTTTAGCTCTTATAACCCCCAAAATCGACTCATTTATATGCATGCAGACATATTGACATCTAACCAGACAGACAGATAGACAGACAACACAAGGACATGGCTAGTTCAACTCATCTATATAAATATATACACTTTCTATTGCCTGTTACACACACTTGCACAAAGGCATTATACCCTTTCAACACATTTTATATGTGTGCAGGGTATAACGAAATAAAATAAAAAACAATGAAATATATGTAAATAAAAGTATCTCAATCAAGTGTACATATGTTCATAGTATATGTACATGCTATAGTCATCTATATGTTTATACACACGAGGGCAGGCTGAAAAGTGCTTAAATAAAATACCTTTTTGTATAGATTTATTTCATTTTGAAGCATTGTCCCCATTTTTCCAGCAGTCCTCCAATTTTCTTATGCTCTGAATTTCCTCCAAATAGTCTGCATTTGTCTTCCTTTAAGCCATTTCTTCGAGTCTGCAAATAATACAAATAAAATATGTAGATCTAGTTCGTCTACTTAACTACTTTTCAGCCTGCCCTCGTGTGCGCACACCTCTCCAATTGGCAATCTGCTGCAACTGGTTGGCAGCCCAGGTAGAAGTCAACGATTCGCAAAATTCGTACAGCTTAAATGTGGGTCTTTTGACTTTCGTATGGAGCTTGTGAAGTAGATAATTAATAAATATATATTTAGATATTGTTAATACAGCAATTTAATATAAATGACTTATAAATACAGTTAAAACTAAATCTAAATGTGTGTTGAATATCTGTGCAATTGATATATAAAAAGTATTAGGCTTATTAACTGATTGACTTAATGACTGATTGATAACAGTGCACAGCCAAATAGATGTATGCTAGATGTGATGTAAGTGCATATTAAAAAGACGCTTTAAAAAATTCATTCGCAAAGGTGAGTGCAAGATTGTCAGGACTACAATTAATTAATTGTCTGACTGACTTCAGTTTTTGAAATTTAAAAAATGTTTGAAACAATACGTGTCTTGACGTATTAAAAGAAACACGCACAAACGAAAGATAATTAAGAAAAGGATTTTAATTAAAATAAAAACAACATTTATTTACAACAATATTTATCTTGCGCCAGAAACAGTGTTCTGTGTATAAATAATCTGTATTTCTTATAAAGGTATCTTTATATCATAAACGATAAGCAAACTGAATGCATATCCTGCTCGTAGTCACATTATATTTTTCCTCCTCTATGATATAGTCTTGGTTAGAGCATTCAGTAACCGATATGCTCTACTTATAAACCCAACACATCAAACAATGCAACATTTTCCCTGCACTTTCCACAATTTTCGCGAAAATAAATGCAGCACAGATTCGTTTGCGTGTGTGCGCTTGTCTGCCTCTGTTACCTGCCCCCGCTCTTTCGCTCCTTTTGTTTATATTTTTTTTATTTTTTGTTAATTTGTATGGAAAATCACTTTTTGCGAAAAATCCATTTAAAAATTACGCTGTTTTTATAAGGTAACAATGCATACAACAATTTACACACGCGCACGCTGCAAATTTGCATAACATTTGCCCGGGCAAACACACGAGAGCAAAGGATGTCACACCCATACACATACACACAAATCCACAAACACACGCACACACACACGCACACACACACGCACACTCAACTGGTTTGCCCAAGCGTATAAATTCACATAATAAGTCTGTGTCGGTGTCGGCAGATCTCTCTGAATAATGTGGATGCTGCGGCTGATGATGATGCGCCGCGTTGCACGTTGTTGTTGTTGTTGCGCCCTCTGCTGTGGTTGTTGTTGTTGTTGTTATCAGAATTGATTCGCGACAACAACAACAACAAGAAGCACAGCTACGACAACGATATCATCCGCCTGCCTCAACGCCCACACACATATTGCTGATGCTTGGCTATGGTTGATGATTGGAGTTGTTTTAAAGGTGTGTGTGTGTGTGTGTGTGTGTGTGTGGGTGCAGAGAGAGAGTGGGGAGAGAGGGGGCGGTTTTGACTGAGGGTTGCTCTGTAATGGCCAGTGTAATGACATGTGCAGCCCGGCCAGACCGCTGTCTACATCACAACATGCCCCAGACATCAGTCGGTTGCCGGCTGCGGTTTCAAATATTGCAAAATTGTAAATGTTTTACTCGTATTATTGTTGTTGTTCCTGCTGTTGTTGTTGTTGTTGTTGTTGTTGCTGCTGCTGCTGTGACATCTGGCGGCTTTGTTGTTGCTTGTTGGTTTATTGTAAATTACTGGCTATAAATTAAAATAACACACTCGCTAAATGCGTAATCAAAGGTTGGGCCTTCCTTTTTCAGCAGCATACAATTTGTTTGTTTATAGATTGGCTTATTTTTGATAATAAATTAAATAAATGAACTAGCTAAATGAAAAGCGCAGCTGCCATTTGAAATACGATGAAGTCAATTAGCCTATGGGAGCTCGGTTCGGTAATATATCCTGCACATGAGTGGGGAACCGGAGAAGGGACAAGGTAATAATTTCTAAGAAAATTCGACTCACTCACTTTTTCCGTATCTCTCCCTCAACTACTCTTCTTTATCTCTTTCTTTTCTTTAAGCTTTCTCCTCTATTTGCTTTCTTGGTTCCTCTGGCTTTCTCGGTCTCTCTCTTTCGATCTTACATTATTTCCTACTCTCGCTTACACTCTCAATATCTAGTTCTGATACGCAATGACTCGTTTTAGTCTCTCTCTCTCTGTCGCACTCTTATTGTCTCCTGCTTTCTTGTTTCTTTTCTCTCGTTCGGCATCTTTCGTTTTCTCTGTATTTCAGTCTCTCCACCGCAGACGCCACTACTACTCTCTGTCTTTCACATTTTTCTCATGCTAACGCAACACACTTAAATGCCGCCTTTCTACGCGATTTTCAAAAATGCAAGTAATGCTTCAATGTTTGCTGCTTATTGTGTTCTAAATATACTGGCGATGAATATATTTATTGCTCTGAGCCGAGACACTGCAGTTAAGGAATTCTTGTCTCAGTTTTCAGTGACTTATTTTAGAAGCTTTAGCTTCGCGTCGAACTTAAAGCAGACAATGGGACCATGAGAACAATCAGGAACATGTACAGGCCCAACCAGCTACAATAGACTCGCTGCTGGCGGCTTTCATTGGTTTTTGTTTCATGTTGTTGTTAACGGCGAAATTGCGTTGAATGCTACCTGCCATTTGGCGGCACATGCAGCAACAGCAGCAGCAGCAGGTGAATGGGGTGGCATGCAGCATGGAGCCGCACATTAAGTAAATGCCTGCCTATGTGCTATATACAGGACTATATGTGCATATGCAAGGGTACGTTATATAAGCCAACAGACAAGAGACGGCAGATGGAAGACGGGATACGGTAGACGGGGGACTACGGGCTAAAGGTGCTCGCTGCTCGTTGTTCGTTGAGTGTTGCTCGTTGCTGGTTGTTCCTTTGGCGTTTATTTGTAGCCAGAGTTTGGTTTGGTTCGTTTGTTTGTTTGCCTGCCAGTCAGCGCTGGATCCTAGCTGCATCCTCTGGCAGCCGCAACAGAAGCAACTTTTCCATTAAATCTTCTGTCCGTTTGTCGGCGTCGTCTCGTCTCGTCTCGCCCTGTCCTGTCCTGTCCTCTGCTGTCCTGCTCTCAACGTTTTCAGTGTGCTTGTGTGTGTGTGTGTGTGTGTGTGTGTGAGGTTTAAGCGCTGCCTTTAACTGTGTTGTCTGCTGTTTGCCATTGTCATTGTCTAGACTCTCGACTCGACCTGTCTCTAGTTTCTGCTATTGGCATGGCCCAAGCTGCGTATGCGCAATATTTGGCCATGGCAAACTTAAAATAATCATACGCACCGTTGTGCAATATACAAAAAACGCCAGCTTTTGCTTTTTATTTTGTTTTGCCGAGTTCAAAGTCCACAATGTCCAAATAGCTTTAGCGATACTCGAATGCCGAAAATGCCAAAGCAGCTCCTTTGTATTTATATTTGTATTTGTCTATAAATAAACGAGCTGCCCTTGTTGTCCTTGTTGTCGTCCTGTCTGCCGTATTTGTTGACATGTAATTGCAACTAAATATTTTAAATTGCTTTAAAATAAAGCGTTCGCTTCCCTTTCTCGCTCACACTTTGGTGCTGGGCTATCTCATCCAAAAGGTTATGCAAATGACAAAGTTTCCTCTTGGCTCGGCGCAGGATGCGCATCCACCAGGCAGACTGCACACAGTTGTGGTGCTGGATGCCGCCTGCACCGTTTGAGTAAATAACATACATAAAACTCGTATTTGTACACAGCATACGTGTAAACACTGTGCAGCAGCAGCTGGAGGAGCCGCTGGGAGAGTGACAGTCGGGGTCCTGCAGCAGCAGAGAGCATCATGCAATTTCTGTTTGCATTTTACATTCAGCTGCGTGTCGGTATCGGGATACCTGGGTTCTTGTGTGGGTGACTGCCTCCCTGTATACATATATATGCATATGCGTTCGTGAGTGTGTGTGTGTGGAAATATGTGCAAATGCTTTTATCAACGGCATTCGTTAAACAACAAATAATCACATAAAAGCTCACCAAACTAAAGACTAACAAATGCTCTGCAATTCATATTCAATTCAACCAAATTAATGCATAAGTCTGGCATTTAAAGTTAACTTGACCTTACTGCTTACTATATTTACTGTGGTTGCTATATTATATTCCTTAGTATTTTCCTTTCAAGTTCTTCTGTTTGCTGTTTGTTGATCATCAATCAGTCAGCTATTCAGTTAATCAGTGAGTCAATCAATCGTTCCTTTTAACGTTTGAACTGCGTGTTAATCACCAATGATTCTGTTACTTTCTTCTTTAGTCACTCAGCCAACCAGTCCGCCAAGCAGTAAGTCAGTCAACCAGTTAATCAATCAGTCAGTCAATAGCGAATCATTCTGTTACATAGTCAATCATAGTCATCAATCAGTCAATCAATCTGTTGCTCCATTAGTCGCCAAACATTCTGTCACTTTGTTAGTCAGTCAGTCCGTCAACTAGTCAGTCATTCATCCAGTTGTTCAATCAATCAGTCAACCACCCATTTTATAAACTAGTCAATCAATCAGTCGGTCGGCTTACAGTTTGGGCGGACGTTGATCACTAAACAGTCGCTCATTAAATCAGTCAACCAATCAATCAATTTCTCTGTCAATCAGTAAGGCAGTTAGTCAATCAGTTAGAATAGTAATTTATATATATTGTTTTCGAATAACAACGAAGTTCCATAAATAGTCTGTTTTAGCGAGCTTTTATCTATTCTATTACCTCAGACTATTCGTTCCCACACATTCTATGTTTTCTTGATTGTTAGAAATAAAACTTTGATGTATCAATTTAATCAGAAAACGATTACTTTTAAAAACAAACAAAGTTTATATTGAGAGACTAGAAGGAGGGGATGGATTGTTGTTGGGCTGAATGTGAGTGACAGTTGAGCGACGATTAGTTGTAGTTTAATGCACATATTTAAGCGGTTTATTTGCTTATTTATTTATGCACAATTTATGCCTAATTGATGTCAGCTATGCGCAGTGGCAGTTGCCGAGTTGGCGCTGTAATTAACACCAAAACACCCAGCGAGCATGTCGGCAGTCACTTAAAGCGAATTCAAAATGCCCGCAACGCAGCCAAGACCTTCAATCATCAATCA